ATTCACCATTTTCCATACATCGGTTCACTGGTCAAACACTAAGCATTCACTCGAGGTTGAAGGTTCAAATTTGAATAATCCTTTTAAAGTACCTTGCGCCTCCCTTGAGCGCTTTGTGTTTGACCAGTGAACCAATGTATGCAAAATGGTGAATGACAACTCCCTGAACACTAACCTAGTGAAGGTATTTTTAAGGATGTGGTAAACGAAGCTAACACAGCACGACACAACGGCTGTTCACCGTACTTGTGCGTCAAGTAGAAACACGTCGAACAATCAATCAGCTCCAAGTCCAGCTTCGTAGAAGCATTAAACGGTGAACCTTTTTTGGAACTGTAATGAAAAACTCGTATAAGAAGCCATATACAACAAATACTCTGCTTCAGATTACAATATAATTGAATAATAATAATAGGAAATAATAAGAATTCAAAATTGGTTCAACAGAGTGGCTTTCCTTCTGCTGCATTCAATACTCCATTTTACAGTTGCGTTCGAGTGACCACGAATGACAGTTGCAACTCGAGGCTGCAGTTTCCGCGCATAACAAAACTATACTTTTTAACATGCGCGGAAACTCCAGCCTCGGCTTGGAACGGAACTGTAAGATGGAATATTGTCGATTTTTGTGGAGGAAGGAAAACCTGTGAACGATGAGAAAACCTCGAAGCACAGGAGAGAACCAACAAGCAACTCTACTTACATACGACATAGTTGGAGAGACCAATAATCCAACAGCTTGAAGATAACAAGCTACAAAAAAGGCAGTGACTGAAGTTCCTCTAACGTACCTTGTACTCTGAGGCGCAGCAGTTTTAGCCGATTGTCTCTTCCCCATTTGAGACATGAAGTATTCCATCCAGTACATGTAGTCATCATGTATGTAGCTGTTATGAAATGATTCAATGGATACAGATGTTGCCAGCTGTGGAATACTGTCCTGTTCACTGAGCTAAAGAAAAGGATATCAAATTCAAAATGTTGAATTTATTTATCAAATAACTGTTATAAAATGTTGTGCTTCTTAGGGGAAGATCCAGAAGGTGCAGGGGGTGCATAACTCCCCCCCCCCCCCCCCAAAAAAAGCCCTTTCAAATGTTAACATTTCAACCACGTGTAAGTATGCTGAGAAATATATGTGACTACGTTTAGACATTTCTCTCGTGTTCTACCAATCCCTACGTGCTTCATAACTGTATGCTGCTCTCACACACACACATTTACTATTTCATCGATATCACAGGCGAAAGAAAAAAAAAAAACCAGGTGAAAAAGTCTGCGCTACAAATATCTACATTGGATTGATCAAATCTAGATTTTTGCTGGATTTTAAAGAGAAAAACCCCTCAATCAAGGGAGGGAATCAGCAAACTCTAGCCACATTTTTTATGTTGAGACAGGTATGAAACCCGAGACCCCAGATGTGAGAGACAAGTGCACTAACACTATGCCAACCTTGAACCAGTATCCAATCACATTTTTAATTTATTCATTATTTCTTTTTTTTATTTTTATTTTATCTTTTTTTTATCATTCAATCAACCACCAATGACCAATCAATTGAACATAAACAGCCTACCTTGGCCACAAATCTAAACCTGTTCATTATACACAGCCTACAGGACTGCGATCCAGACACATTGATACCTAAATAGTAAAAGCATATGATATAATAAATTCAAAATTTAGTTGGAATTGGTTGCATGTAACAATGTAGGACAACTGGACTCATATGGCAGCCACGTTTATTCCTTGATTTTACTTGATATCATTTCCTGTCTGATGCAGAATGTTCATCAGCTGAATCATGAGTTTTCAATACAATTCTTTCTGGTTGACAGCACCTGGGCCGGGGTTGTACGAAGGGTGGATAGTGCAATCCAATGGATAATTCTTATCCAGTGGATAAATCTATTGAATAACAGCATTGACTTATCAACTGGATAAGGATTTATTCGTCTGATAGCACTATCTGACCCTTCGTACCACCGGACCCTGGTGGTCAACATTTGACCACCATTTAAAGCAGATGATGAGATTCAAACTTTTATCAGCTGACAGCCTTATGGCCATATAAATTCATCTGGAAGGATTCGAATGCAAGGTGACACCAGATAAATCAAATTTTCAAGCCAACATGGAGGCCACATGAAAAATGTCCACAGAACAGAGCAAGGCCTGATTCAGCTTAAATCCTTATTTATAATTATTTCAATTTATTTATACCTGAAATAACTAGATTAATGTCACACTGTTTACTTGTGTCATTTCCATTTCCTTGATCCCTTACAAATGATGAGAAGATCCGGGTAATATCAATGTTAAGATTTCTGTTAAAAAAAAAACAAGAATAGTGAACTAAAAAGATGTGCTCCAGCTCTACTCCCACCCTACCTACGAAGGTTAGGAATAGAATTGCATTGATTAATGTTAATTGGCTAAAGATCATGCACACAAGAGGGAATTCACATGTTTTGGAAGCTTCGCTATTCGTGTGATAATGGGTTTTCTCAAAAAATTGAACACAAATGAATTTTCCATAGGGTGGCATCCTTACTATGAAATTTAAATTTGCATTTAGTTTGGTAATCAAAAATGCAGATGGCCAGAAAGGTTGATACAAATGGGGGGGAGGGGGATAACAAGGAAGTGAAATCTCTCTTTTTCATTTCTCATTTTTCCCATTCAAAACATACCTTTTATCTTTGTTAATAAAATTAATACTACTTTTCTCTATAGAAAGTTCCACTTGCTGTAAGAAACGAAAGGAATAATTTTTTAGCTTCAGTTAAATGAAATGTTTTTAAATAAAAAAAACTTGTTATCGCTAATTACCATCACAAGTTAAATACAGCAGTGGTGCAGCTCAACTGGGTTGAACTAGAAGCCATGTGAAGGCACCTCTAGTAGCTGCTGTACAGTTCATGTAGATTCCAGAGCACATCTCTAACCAGTTTGAATTAGTTAGGGTTGATTTGGGAGAAGGGACGAAAAACCAAAGAGCCTGAAATACCCCAGGAGTCAGAAAAAGAGACCAAACAAACTCTATTCAACAATGTGCGATTCTTGCCAAGTCTGTGAATTGCACCAGCACCTGCAGAGGTGAAAGGTGAGGACATGTGCACTACCACTATCCCATCCTTGATTCACAAACATCTCTTATTAAATTGAATAACGATTGTATTTATTGTTGATTAACGATTGTTTTATATACCTTTGGAGCTTCTGCTAACCTAGACCATAAGTTTGTTGTTGCAAGTTGTTCAGAATTTTCTTCTCTGTGTAACATTCTATTTTCAACTAAAATRAAAATATTCAAATTAGCAGTGTCTTGAATACACATATTGTGCATACCACGTCATTCCCTTGAGAATAGACCCCTATTAACATTATATTGAATGCTAGGCTAACAGGAAAATAATAAAAGTAGAATAGAAATGCAACAAATTTCCATCAAGAAAAGAGTGATTTCTTGGGTTTTTAATTTTTCTTGTTGAATTTTGTGTCTCCAAAGATCAGATCAAGGAGGTGTTCTTTAATGTGGCATGGCCTTTATTCCAAAGCTGGGTGATTATGTAACTTTATCAATATGTTCTCACCTTCATCTAAATGTGACACACTTGGTCCTGCTTCTGGTTGTTTATTTTTTGTTAACAGACCTAATTAGAAGGGGACAAAATTGTAATTTGTTGTCATCGTTGGACAGCAGCAGTAGCATAAGGAACAGCAGCAGTAGAGGTAGTAGCAGTAGCAGTAGCATAAGGAACAGCAGCAGTAGCACTAGCATAAGCAACAGCAGCAGTAGCTGTAGCAGTAGCAGTAGCATAAGCAACAGCAGCAGTAGCAGTAGCTGTAGTAGTAGCAGTAGCAGTAGCAGTAACAGTAGCAGTAGCAGTAGCATAAGCAACAGCAGCAGTAGCAGTAGCTGTAGCTGTAGCAGTAGCAACAGCAGCAGCAGCAGCAGTAGCAGCAGCAGTAGCAGTAGCAGTAGCAGTAGCAGTAGCAGTAGCAGTGGTGGTTGTATAGTTGATTGTAGATGAAATAAACAGAAATGTTGTAGATGATGGTGATGATAAATCATGATAATGGTATTGATGTCACAATTATATGGTTTTCAGGGGGTTCCTGCTACTCACCATCATTTAATATCACACAAAGGGACCTAAGGCTAAGCTGAATATCCTGAAAAAGATAAGCAACTATGTGAGCAATAATTTGGAAAGAAAATTGGGAAATGTAGAATAGCTAAACCTCTTCAGATTGGGCATAATGTTTTTAACCTCTTCAAGTTGGCATTGCAGTGCTTTGTGGGGCTGTTCTAGGGGACGTTTTTCCAAGATGGCATCTATTTTGTCCCCTAAAAAAGCCCCCAAATGCACTGCTATTCAAACTCGACCCAGGTTTTTTGCTCAACCTTAGAATGGCTAATTATCATTTTATATATTATCACTTACTGCGGAACTAATTCCCTCCAATGGCTGGATAGAAGCTTCTATTGCTACGTCAACTGATATTGCAGCTACATTTTCGTAGGTATTGGAACTTTTGTCTGTGACCTGTTAAATATGAGGATAAAGAAGCTCTTGTATTCATGACTGGAAATTCATAGCATTGATTTGCTGCTCTGGGTGATAGAGCCAACTTGTACTTACACAATTAAGTTCAGTGACAACTTTGTTCATTAAAATAACAGAGTTCAAACTGCAAGGGAAAAATGGAAATATTGTCAGCGGTACCCCATAAAAAAAATAACAAAGGCAGATGTACGAGAGAAAAATTTGAAGTAAAACAAGGAAAATTGTAAGTTGGAAACTCCTTGACGATGATAGAAGAAGCATCTGAAGGAATTTTTTATTGATGGGATGCCCACATAAATGGGTGTCCATAAAATTAAGTGAGCTGCCTATCACTGGGACAAAAATCAAGTGTCTATAATACTGGAGTGTCTATAATAGTGAGTGTCCATTTCTCCATATATGAAGTTTTATCTATAAAAATGCATACAGAATGATATAAAGCATTCAGTTAAACTAAGAGAAAAAAGATTCAAACCATTTTCCTGTAGGGTTAGCAGATATGTCTAATCCATCTTGGAGCTTGCATTGAATGATTCTGTTATCTGATTGCCTTAGAATAACAACTATTTCACTAAAGGAAATGGCCATATACTGAAATAAATACAGGAAAATAAATACAGGACAAATTATTGCTTCAATCGCATTAATAGACCCCTCAATGAATACTTTTGCTTTTGGGGTTAATGTTTAAATTAAATTTGTTTAATAAAAAAATAATAAAAAAGCCTCTTTCACAGGTAACCCATGCTGGTTAGGATCCAATTCTGTGACATTGGGAGCCCTGTGTGCTTCACACAGGACTTAGCACTCTACAGCCCCAGAGTCTTTCGGCTTTTTGGTTAACGCTAAGATAACCGTTTTTCTTTGACCCATGAATCCCTACATTATGACCACAGGAATCCCAATCCTATTCCCAAATTATTGGTTTGCAATCATTCTCAATAGAGTCAGAAGACAAAGATAGAAGACAAAGATATGGTGGCCATGTTGGTGCAGTAATAACAATGGAAGCAATTGAGAAGTCTTTTGGTATAAACCACAAACATGGCTATGACATAATGTACAAACATTCCCCAGAGAGCCAAGAGACAAAGACATGGTAGCCATGTTGGTGGTATTAGCAAAGGAGTCTGATGAGGAATCTTTTGTTAAATATCACCAACATGGCCATGATGACATATTGTACAAACATTCCCAAGACATTCAAGAGACAAAGACATGGCAGCCATGTTGTAGGTATTAGCAATGAAAGCTAATAACCAATCTTTTGTTTAAAAGATTTTGCCTCCATGACGCAACATGGAAATGAAAAATAAAGTTGCATTTTAGCTGAAACTTATCTCATTGATAACATAACTACTGTACATCATAGATGTAAATTTTTGCTAAAAGTTTCACTTTAAGGCTGTAGTTTTCACATACCTGACAAAACAAGTTAATAAACTGAGATATTCTCTCCTTGTGGGAATTCACTAAAGAATAAAGAAAGGACTGTTTATAATCTAATTTATACTTCATTAATACCCTTGAAACTTGTCATTGCTTGAAACAAACTCTGCGCTGACCTAAATCTTAAAGTCAGGACACAGCTAACTCACAGATCAAACCTTGAAACAACCTCTGCATGGATCAATATCTGGGCATAGCTAACTCACAGATCAAACCTTGAAACATCCTCTGGGCGGATCAAAGTCTAGGCATAGCAAACTCACAGATCAAACCCTGAAACAACCTCTAGGCTGATCAAAGTCAACTCAAAGCCAACTCAAAGATCAAGTATTATTAGGTTTTACAGAGGTAAGAAAACCAGAATAAAAGTACTAAGATAGAATTATCTGAAGCTCTGACTTACTAAAATTATTATTAGGGCCTTTTTTCTTGACATTTGGCTTTGGTTGTTTTGCTATACTTCCTTCTTGAGTAATTAGTGTTTTACCAAAGTAAACTGTGAAGAGCTTCCTAAAAATAATGCCCAATTAAAGTTTTACAAAAAATAAGAAAAAATAAGAAATATAACAAATGAGGAGACAAAAGTTATTTCCACATACTCAAAAAACGTACTTCTAGAAATTATAGTTAACAAAACTTGATCTTTAGTTTGGGTGTAATGTTTTGTCATTTCAGACCATGTGTCATTCTCTTGAGAATAAAATTCTTTGTTTGAGCTGTATCCATATTCATGTGTCTTCTCATGGGCAACCATTAAACAAAGAAGTGATACTCTAGGGAATGACACAAGGCCCGAAATGGGAAAACATTACAACTAAGGTAAGGCATTCTCTCTTGCCTGGAATTTGAGTGAGTCCATTTTGTCTTTAAAGATATATTTTCTATTTCCTAAAAGTTAAGAAAAATAGGGTTAGTTGATTTGATAATACAAGATGATGTTGATGGCTTGATGATGACAAATATGATAGTAATACACTAGTGATGGTATTGAAAATAATAGGATGAATAATAATAGCGATGGTGATGTAAGAAGTCAGTGATAATGGCGATACAAATGTGTCAATGATACATAATATGGTGATGGTGGTGGTGCTGATCATGGCAATGATAATGATGAACATGATGATGAAGATGATGATGATATACTCAATTAAAGGTATATATACCTAATTGAATAAACATTGTCGGGTTCAAAAAAAGGTTATATCATCAAAGCTAAGACCGAAGGGGAGCATGGGAAGACAAACAATCATGCTAATTTCATGCCTATTGCAGTTTTCCCTTCCTGTGCACATTTTATGCATCATGGCTGGCTTTTAGTGGCATATTGTTAATCTAGGTCAACCGACTTTGCTCTTCTGTGCATTTTTACATGTCTATATGCAAATATGATACATATTTCGGATTCCCCAAAATCCTTTTCGGTCTTAGCTTTCGATGATATGACCTTCTTGAACCCGACTATGTTTTTCAATTAGGTGTATACCCTGTGTAATGAAGTTAATGGTTACTATAGTATAATAAGACTCACTATGATATTGTTGTTCTTTAATTTAATTTTGATTCCAATGACAGAAAGAAATCCAAATGTTTCAATAGTTAGGTCCAGTTTGACAAAACATCTGGCAATTACCTCGATGACTTTTGCAAAAAATCTGTACATTTGGAAAAAAACACAGGAAATAATATACATAATATACATATACACATGCAGGCCACCTAGATAGACCCCTTGCAGCACGTCAAAATGCAGCTCAATTTGGAGGACATAACAATGAAGGTTCCCAATTCTCATGAGATTGAAATTCTTTTGTTTTTGTTGTCCTCCAAATTAAACTGCTTTGACGTCACATGCAAGGGTTCTATTGATGGTTTCAAAGTATTTCCAAGAGTCAAGTCAAAAAGACATGGAGGTCACGTTGTTGATATTTGCAATGGTTGCCTACCTAAGTCTTTTAGTTAACTTATCAACCACGAACATAGCAGCTGTGATGTAACGTGCAATACAAGGATGTATTTAACCCATAATCATCTCTTGATATTTATAAGCCTAAAATTGCTATTTATATGGATATTAGGAAAGATTCGGAACTTTTTTTAGAACCTTCCAAGTTTGAAAGTCCCCTTCCTGCCTGACACCAATAAACGGCAATATATCCCCCAATTCTTACCCTTCAACCCTCCCCCCGATAAACAATGAGTAGTCACTAATCCAGGCCATATTCTGTCACCACACCACGCAATTTTACAAGAATTTTCAGAATATTCTATAAAGAATCACGGACTTCCAAAGAAGTTTTTTTTTCAAAATCTGTACAACATTCGAATTCAAAATCAAAGAAAAGTTCGGCTCGATTTGGCACTGTCATACAGCACTTACCTGCCTAGAAAAATAGCAGAAAAGATGGCAAGAAGTACAAAAGCTGCGGCGTAAGAGAGAACCATTTTAAACTCAAGGAACACTTGTTTTATTAGGAGAGAACAGAAAAGAAAAACTTGAAGAATTGTTTTTTTTGCTCGTCCTCCATGTTTTGATGCGCACGAGCTCGTCACGCATATTTGACCTTCATGTTACGCTGACCGTTTTGATCGCTTTTTGACTTTAGAGTGTCTGTCTGTCTGTCTGTTCTCAAAATTCAATGTCATTCTTGTTGCACAACTTTTTACCTCGCATGGTTAGCCAAAGCTATCTAAACATGCATGAAATTGATGTTTGAATGTTATTTGGCCACGCCAGACGATGCAAGGGTTTTCTCCCGATCCGGATCAGATTTCGATCATATGCTTCCCCTATACTTCCTTCACTCCCCTCTTTTTCTATTCCTTATCATCCTTATTTGCTTCTTTTCATTTTTTTCTACTACTACGATTCTTCGCCGCTCGCCTTCTCCTCCTCGTCTTTGTTCCCTCCCCTCCCTCTCYCCGCCATCGACCCAATTCCCACAATCGCCACGATTTTCAATCAAATTGACTGACTTTTTTTCTTTCTACCCGCTTTCCTTTTCCACTTTTCTTCACTTTTCCTTTTCCTTTTTTTATTTACTCTATTGATTGTATTGATATACACTTTCATTTTACAGATGTGATTTAATCACGTCGGAAGACTATAATAACACTAATTACTATATTTCAGACTGAAGTCTGTAGTCGGAAGAAAATTAAACATGGCAGCGTACTGAAGATCGTGGCAATTTGAAAATCATGGCAGTCTTGAAACTTGACTTTTGTGAAAATTCTGGAGCGGAGGCTTGTTTGAATAATATTCGTCGTCTATAAAGATAGTATTTAAGTTCTACAAAGTTCATAATTAAGTGTAATAAGAAAATTAATATACAGCAAAAATATGATTAGAGCCGGAGAAGTCACTAAACCCGTGAAATAGATAAGTACTAATCCCTATTAGTGGACCCTAAATCAGTTTTTTGGGATTTTTTGTTTTTGTTTATTTGACTATTACAGGTTGACCAATTTAATTTCACGGGTTAAACGCCTTCGCCCCACTCCTTACGGTACGTGCATTTACTAACGTCAAATACTATTTTAGTCTATTAAAAGCCTGGTTCTTTCTAGCGACGCACGAGAGCCGACACAATCCGAAGATGACAAGAGCACAGCCACGCCTGCGCTTGCGTAGTTTCTTTTCATAGTGAGAACATGGATCAGTTTGGAGCTGCTTCTGCTTGCGTCAGTGCGTCGCTAGTGTGAAGCGAACCTAATTGTCTAATTACTACTAGGCTTATTGAAACCAAGTGATTTCGCTTTTCTCGACTCGAACGAATAAGCCAATCACTGAGCATTTTGTCGTACTCTCAATTCCTAGTTGACTGATTTCGGCTCGATAAAAATCTTTTACGAAAATAAAGAAAATAAAAATCATCCATGGAACTGAGCCGCTTAATATCTTTTTGGAATAGCATAGGTCGTCGTTTTTGGTGGAAAAAATATTTCGTTTTGACAAGCGATAATAGAAAATACTGGGGAATTGTTGCTGTGACAAACAATGATTCGCGACAAGATTCCACCGAAAACCACCTGGAAAGACTCTACTCGCTAAAACTCTTGTCAAATGCGTACATCACTGAGACCATATATGTATACCGTTATTTCTGACTTTTCCAGTTCTGTTTAATTTACTTTAACAGTGTTTCTACTGTAACGTTGATTTAGATATAAATTCCTTCCCCCCACCCCCAAAAACAA